CAAAAGTGCATGCTTGTAGGGGCATTGTAGCGTCCTGGTTAAAAGATGACTAAGTCTTCCACTGATGTTCACGATTCATTTATTGGTCACACTTCATAGAATTTGTTCGCATTATTCAATCATGAATCACCGCAAGAACTAGAGAGAAAATAAACAAACAACAAACACAAATAAATCCTGAAAATTAACACTAAGCCAACATCAACAATTAAGCAGTAAACAAATAAACCAAATTACCTTATTTTTCCCTCAAACCAGGAGCTATAACTCATGAAGGAGGAATCCGTGAAGCAACTGTATACCTGTGCCCCCTTTACCGTGTTTTACGTAGCGTTCCGTACTTTGTTTTCATTCATTTCTACACGCAATTTATACATCCGGTAAGCTCCGCAATTTTGACGTCATAATTAAAGTCCCCAAACAACGTAATTCATTCAACAAATCAACCCGTATACAAAAAAACAAAACCTCAAAAATAAATAAATAAATAAATTCAAAATCATAAACAAAGTAACACATTATTTCAAGTTTCTTTACAGGCATGACGTAGTGACGTGGAGCCGATCCGCAAATCACAGCACATTATGTTAGCTGACCAATCAGAGCCTCATGAGGGCTGGCCTTTCGGAGGAACTAGGTAATATGACAGTCATTTTCATGTTAGCTGAGTAGCTGTTTGTAGTGTAATGTGTATTTATATAGTGCATTTATTGTGTATGGCCTTACACTCACAGCGTTGCATAATCATGTGGGGGGTCTCTCCACACCACCACCTTTCTCACCACACACCAGCTATAGGTGAGGCCATGATCGTAAGGGCTGATTGAGGGACTTTGGACACCGGGGTTTACACCCCTACTTTTTATAAGAAGTGCCATGAGATTTTTAATGACAGCAGAGTCAGGACTTCGATTTAACATCTCATTTGCAAGACAGTGCCCACTGACAGTATAGTATCCCTTTCACTATTACTTGGGCATTAGGACTCACACAGACCACAGGTTGAACGCCTCCTGCTGACCTCTCTAACACCACTTCCAACAGCAACCTAGTGTTTCCATGTGGTCTTCCATCCAGGTACTGACCATTCTCAGCCCTGCTTAGCTTCAGTGAGTAACTGCTCTTGGGCTGCAGGGTGATATGGCTGTGGCCATATATAAAATCAAAGTAAGATATATGAAAAAATAACTTCCTTTTCTACAAGTGAAACATGAACACACATTGCTTTGCATCTTATAAACACAACCAAGCCTTAAAAATACACTGTGGACCACCCCTTTAACATCCTTAATAAGGAACAAGGTTATTCCGAGAAACACCAGTAGAGGTCCTACTATATGAATCAACTTCTGCTTTCACTCTTCCTTCTAAGCTTTGAGCATTGAGCATTACAGTTTATTAATATTCAAACGAGGCTTTGTTGTGAAAATGGGAATTAGAGATAAAACCTGCCCTTCATGAGGAATATTTAGTAATATTCCTATATTATCAGCAGTTCATTTGATTGGTATCAAGGTTGTTGGGGGCCATCAGAACTCTACAGAATAAAGTCTGCATATGCACAATAAACAGACCAAAAACACAGTAATCTGTCATTGTCCTAAATGTCACATTTCTGCAGTATCCAATATTTTTACATAAACAGAACTAAGCTCTGTGCAGCATAAGGCAAATGAGACTTCCTCTTTTTAGCCTGAAGTAACTGCATTCTTTTGTGAGGATGCAAATGTAGACAATTAGATATATATGCAGCTGAAATCAAAATGATCAGCCCTCTTGTCAATTTTTGTATTATTTAAAAAATACTTCCCAAGTGATGTTTAACAAACCAAGGACATTTTCAGAGTATTTCCATTTGGCACATGACACAGTAATCGTTTTATCTCAATTAATAGGTTTTTCATATTTGTTGGACAAAATCGAAACTGAAACAGAATTTTGATTAATTGCACATAATATATTTTTTCCTTTGGGAGTTTTTTTTTTTTTTTTTGGCTGGAATTAAAAATTTAAAATTTCACAGAAAGGCAAATTATTTTGACTTCAACTGCATGTAATTTTGTAAATCACAAAAGAAATCATTTGTTATTAAAGTATAAAAAGTATAAAATTGTCCTAAGTCACAAATGGGTGTTGTTCAATACTTTTAGGACAACATTGATGAAAGGTTTTGATTCACTTTAAATGCTGATTACTGTTTGAATGATTGCTATATATTACATATTATATATGCTATAGGTGAGGCAGTAGATAGTGCTGTCGCCTCACAGCAAGAAGGTCACTGGGTCACTGGTTCTAACCTTGGCTCAGTTGGCGTTTCTGTGTGGAGTTTGCATGTTCTCCCTGCCTTTGTGTGGGTTTCCTCCAGGTACTCCGGTTTCCCCCACAGTCCAGGTGAATTGGGCAGACTAAATTGTCTGTAGAGTATGAATGTGTGTGTGAATGTTTCCCAGAGATGGGTTGTGGCTGGAAGGGCATCCGCTGTGTAAAAACTTGCTGGATAAGTTGGCGGTTCATTCTGCTGTGGCTACACCGGATTAATAAAGGGACTAAGCTGACAAGAAAATGAATAAATGAATGATATGCTATATATATTAATGCATTGAAATAAATTTATAACACTCAGTTTCTATTTGTTAGTATTGATGTGAAAATTACTATTGAGTAAGAACTTTTAATAACAATAATAATAATAATATGTAATAATAATGATAATACTACTACTACTACTACTACTACTAATAATAATGCATAATGTATATGTAAATGTGTCTAAAACAAAGTTTTTAAAACATGCAGTCAATGTTAAGTTACATTTGTATTTTTTATAATAGTGCATGGCTTTAAGTTGTTTTTTTATTAAAGTATTATATTTTTAATTGAATATTGCAATATTGTTTACTTGTTTCTTTCATAACAATGTGTTTTTTTGTTTATCTGGTAACACTACAATAAGGTTGTATTCGTTATGGTTAGTTAATGTATATTTACTATATTCACTAACATGAACAAACAATGAACAGAACATTTACTGCAGTATTTATTCTTCTTTGTTAATGTTAGTTAATGGAAATAAAGTTGTTCATTGTTAGTTCATGTTAGCTCACAGTGGTTTAACTGATGTTAACAAGCATGAATTTGGATTTTTATATTGCATTATTATTTGTGGAACTATGATTAATAAATACTGTACATTCATTCATTCACCGGCAACTTATCCAGCAAGTTTTTACGCAGCGGATGCCCTTCCAGCCCCAACCCATGTCTGGGAAACATTCACACACACACTCATACACTACGGACAATTTAGCCTACCCAATTCATCTGCAGCATGTTTTTGGACTGTGGGGGATACCGGAGCAACCGGAGGAAACCCACGCGAAGGCATGGAGAACATGCAAACTCTACACAGAAATGCCAACTGAGGCAAGGTCGAACCAGCGACCCAGCGACCTTCTTGCTGTGAGGCGACAGCACTACCTACTGCGCCACTGTCTCGCCCAAATGCTGTACAAGTATTGTTAATTATTAGTTAATATTAGTAAATACATTAACTAACATTAATAAAAATGTTAAACTATTCTTTTTAGTAATATAGTAATTTTACTATTTTTTATAATTAATATATATATTTTTATTAATTATCTTTTTGTATTGTATCTACGTATTTAGCTTTTGTTTGTTTGTTTGTTTGTTTGTTTGTTTGTTTGTTTGTTTGTTTGTTTGTTCGTTTCTAACAACAATCCACTGATCTTTTAGCACTCCTTTAACTTTTAACTTAAAATCTTCATCCACTTTTGAGGCAGGGCACCTAACATACATTTGTTTATCTCAAAATAAATAAATAAATGCATAAATCCACATACATACATACATATTTACATAAATACAAACAAACATACATACATACATACATACATACATACATACATACATACATACATACATACATACATACATACATACAAACATACATACATACATACATACATACATACATACATACATACATACATACATACATACATACATACATACATACATACAAACATACATACATACAAACATACATACATACATACATACATACATACATACATACATACATACATACATATAGTTAAAGTCAGAATTATTAGCCCCTCTTTGATTTTTTTTTTGCTTTTTTAAATATTTCCCAAACCATGTTTAACCGAGCAAGGGAATTTTTACAGTATGTATGATAATATTTTTTTTTCTTCTGGAAAAAGCCTTATATGTTTTATTTCAGCTATAATAAAATCAGTTATTTATTTAAAAAAAAAACTTTTTAATGTTAAAATTAATAATTTTTTCGATAGTCTGCAGAACAAACCATCATTATACAATAACTTGCCTAATCACCCTATAGTCTGCCTAGTTAACATAATTAACCTAGTTAAGCCTTTAAATGACAATTGACGTTGTATAGAAGCGTCTTGAAAAATATCAAGTCAAACATTATTTACTGTCATCATGGAAAAGATAAAATAAACCATTTATAAGAAATGAGTTATTCAAACTATTACGTTTAGACAAGTGTTGAATCATCTTGAGACATCTTGTCTCTGTTAAACAGAAATTGGGAAAAAAATAAACAGGGGACGAATAATTCAGGGGGGCTAATAACTCTGTCTTCAACTGTAAATCAGTGCTTGTTAGGAATCCCATGGTGTGAATAAAATAAATGCCTAAAATAAATGACATCTAAAACTTTCTTTGTTGGTAAAGAACCTGAAAGTGTATTTTTAAAAATACAAAGTTAACAGCTTTGTTAAAGTAATAAGCCTGTAGATGTTAATTACTAAACTTTTATTTATGTGCTAGAAATTTTCTTCTCCACCTTAAGAGTGGCGCTCACGATCCTAAAGGCGACCTACTCTCAGGCCACGCCCTACACCATTTCTGATTGGCCGAAGGCCGACGGCTGTGGCTCCTAATTGGTCAGTTCTTTCCCATTGAATGCCCTCCACCTTTACTTTGTCAATTTCTGCGCTTTCATTGAATTGCACTGCAAGAGCTGCATCGACCTGGAAGCCTGCAGCAAAATCCAGCACGACAACCTACACTCCTGTCCCAAAACAGAAGAGAAGCACATCACCGCACTGCTTTATTATCAAACGAGTGGACTAAATTCCTACTTAAACTGGAAGAAGTGAGATCCGTGAAAGAAAGAGAGGGAAAAAGAGAGAGATTTCCCCGTCGTACAAGCCGCACTTCAGTGTAGTTGGCTAATGATTTGTATTAATTCCCAACTTGTTTTAATCCACCGAGGACAAAACACCGCGATGATAAGACTCCAGGACGCTCATGAGAGTTTTAATTCGGCGTTTCATCTCTGAATTTCGACATTAAGTGCACCGCGACCGGCCAAATCAAGGATTAAACACGACATTTGTGGATTTCGCCAAAGGAGATACAATGCCTGACCAGATAACAGTGGCGGAGTTTGTCACGGAGACAAATGAAGATTATAAATCGCCCACCGCCTCAAACTTCACCACCAGAATGACTCACTGCAGGAACACAGTATCCGCACTGGAGGAGGTGAGCCTCATAACTTTATGCATCCTGTTATTTTGTGATTGTTCAACGCTGGCTGGGTGTTTTGCTTACTTACGAGACCACTAGAGTCAGCTATTACCCCCCTTGGAGTAGCTAAACGAGTTACTGAGGAGGCAAATCCTCGCGCCCTCTTTGTTGATGCCTCACCCATTAGACAACTGCTGGATTGCATTGTCCCCTCCTGATGAGATGTAATAAACCACGAACAGTTTGATTACTCATTACTTTTTTTTTTTTTAGATAAAATGCATATTTAGGATCTAACATGCGTTATGTGGGTTATATGGAGAAATATGGAAGCCATTTGTTATAGTTGGTCAGCACCTGTTATAATCAGCATTATTTATTCAGTAGCAACTCACTATCTTGTTTGTAGTTTGTCTCTTATCAGTAGCTGATTGACTAGCTGAAGTGCTTGATCTTGCCATTTTAAAAGGGGCCAATTTGTTCAGTGATTCTAAAACAGACTATGATTTAATCACAATTGAATGAATCCATTGTTGCCCTGTTTAGAAAGCAGTACAACATGGTTTTCAGAATGTGTATAATACTTATTAGATTGATGTCCATACAGTTTATGTATGCATGCTTGTAGAAAGTGAATAGAGTGCACTATGATAAGATTGAGATGACAGAGTCATTGAGTTAACCTAATTTGATGGTTATTTCTATAAATTATTATTATTTTTTTATTGTTATTTAGTATTAATGTAGAGTTGCGAAGGGGTAGGCTTAAATATTCTTCTACTTGCTGCTTCTTTTAGGGAAATGAATAATTAGAATTTTTTGTTTTGTATTGTGTTTTATTTCTTTTTGTTTTTATAAATATGGCTGGGCGATATGGCAAAAATGCAATCTCGATAATTATTTTCCATATTAAACAATGATGATGTATATTTCGATATAAGTTGTTAATGCTTCCAGATATACGAGTACCCCAATAATGACTGGCATCACAAAAAATTAGAGGGTCCAATAAATGGCAAAACATTTTTTCAGCCGATAAATTTTCGGTGGCTGAAAATCCAATTCATCTCTACTATCAGCACACTTCTAGATTCCCATTGTTGCACATTTGTGCTGTGTCATTGGCTCTTAGATCAATATAGAGTAAAAACGTATTATTGTTATTGACATACCTTTTATCGTGATTTGATGTAATATCGTTTGTCGGCCCAGCCCTACTTCAAAACGAAGTTTAATAATTTAAGGACCTCAAGATATTTGCAGTTTTGTGTATATGTGTAGTCAAGTCCAAAATTATTCGTACACCTCAGGTATGAATGCGTTATAAAATCTGAAATGGTTTACTGGATAAATTGCATTTTTAGCAAATATATGCTAGAAATCATAAGTCTAATAGACATATTGGAAATTTGAAGATGCATTATTGGTAGTTCCTAATTTATAGAAATCAAAAGATACCTTGTATTTTAAAGTAACGTGAAAATCACATTTCTTTTTTAACGAAAGTTTCTCAAAGAAGAATGTCATAGTTTATTTTTATATAGTTCATACTAGGGCTGCACGATATTGGAAAAATCTAATTTGTTGATGTTTTATTATTCTGCGATGAATATTGTGACATGAATACAATTTCAGAAGATGAATAGCTCTATTTGGCAGTTTTCTATGGAGTCTTGCATTATTCAGGTGCCATAATAACAATGCAAGAAATGCTTTTCTTACTTTGCATTGCCTCGGTTTTTTTTTAATAAGTAAAAGTATTGATGACTTTCACCTTCAGAAGAAATACCTCAAAAATAAAGAGGTTTTCCTAACCTGCCATTAGGGTAAGTAAAATAATCTTGTTTTCACTTTGGAATGTAGATATTTGAACTAGAAACAAGACAACAATTTTAGGTAAGAAGAAAAAATTTTTATACCTCCAAAGATCATAAGTTTTTGTTCTTAAATATTTAAAATTGTCCTGAAATGCTCAGTCACAAATCACATTTGACTTAATCACATGCAAATGATAAACCTTCACTCTATTATGGTTAAATAGCAGTGACTTTATAAATTCCTTGTGTTCTCCAACTCCTTGTCTACTGTAATTCCGACTCAGCATTTCATATCTTGCGATGACTATTGCTGATGCGCACATTGCAATATCGATGCTGAAACGATATATTGTGCACCCCTAGTTTAAACAATAAAATAGTTTTGGGTTGTTTTTTTAATGCTTTTAAAATTTGCCTATGCCACTGATTGCTCCCTAACTGCCAACCAGGTGTTTACTGGCTAGTTTAGCGTATTGACAAGCAGGTCTAATAGCCTGAAAAGTGGACAAAACAATTCTTAAACCATCAGGAAGACCATATTAAACCAGCTTTCAGAACATGTTTCATTTTTTACAGGTTTTTCCTAACACAAATGTGGTGCATCAAAAGTTGATGAAGAATGTCTACTCTAGGTTGTATAAAAACATCTTGTTAGTGACTGAAGCCTCGCCCTAAGCAGATATAAATAGCCTTTCTCTGATGGGCTCTGCCGCTTTTGTGTCGTATTGAATTGAGACAGCTTCCTGTGGGATATCCATCATCACAGCTCCAGATTTTAACTCCGATAGATGCTGCAGGCTGTGTAGACTTGTTATTAAGTATACAGATAACGGCGGTGCAGTGTGTCAAGATGTTATGCTGTTTTAAAAAGGGTCAAAATAGTTCCTATGTATTTTAATATGAAGAGGTGTTTGATTGTGTCTAGTTATAGCTTGATTCTCTGTTTGATTTCATAATGCCATTGGGTTGAATGATTCCTGTGGTTTCAAGATAATTCTACAAATGGGTAACAGCATTCCGTCTTTCGGTTGTGTATCGCTAGGAGGAACTCAGGAAGTCTGGAGCTAAATGATTGTTTTTGGTCTTCCTCCTTTTGCATGCTGTTTGCTCACTTTTTGGCTTTGTGGTCATTGCTTCAGGGACATAAATAGTGTGTCCACATATTTGCAGTTTTATAGAATCACTGTAAGTTGGCTGTTTTTGTGATCCGGCTCACACTGACCAACAAACAGAGTCTGAATTGGCATTTGTTGAAGAAGGATTTCCAGATGTTATGCTAAAGATGCCTTTTCACTTAAAAAAAGCTTTACCATGTGAAATAATTTATGATTCTTCTCCTGTATTATCTCATTACTTTAAAATGTCTTCTCTAATGGTCTCATTGCTTCAGCATTTAAAAGGGCCTAGTTTAACTTGCAGCCTTTGTGTGGTAATAAACAGGATATGATTGAAGGACTAATCATTGCTTTTTAAAACCATTATGTTGTAAAACAATTAATTAGAAGCCTGCAGTTGTAAACGCTTCAGTCACTAGGGATATAATGTGCGTAAAACATTACTACCCAGTTTTAAGCAATAATGTCTGGTTTATATGTGCATGAAAGTAACATTAATCTAAATCCATCTAATCACAAGTAGACAATTCGATACAGGAAGAGTCTGAAATAGGCATGGAACGATAATTGTTTTCAAAGTATTTGCTGTTTGGAAAAAGTCAAGGTTTTAAAACTAGCTATTTTTTTGTATATGTAAGTTTTTAAAAAAATTTTTTTTTTTTACGTTTTGTTTTAGTTTTTTTTAGGACAACAGTATCTCCAGAATACAGTATCTGTGATTTTGAAAGTAATGAAGACAGCAGATGCCAATGATTCATTTGAATTATTCAGCCTGACATGTTTACGGTTACAAAATAAGTTTCTCAAAATATAATAAATTGTGTTCAAAAAAGAAAAAAACTTTTAGTTTTTTAGCCACACATTTAAAAAGAATATATTTTAGAGCAGTAATCACAAAACCATCTAACCGTAATTTTTTTTATCCAAGGTTATTATACTGTCAGAATCTTATACTGGCCCATGCCTAGTCTGAAATTTTGAAACTGTTTGACCATATTGCTTTTGTAGTAGAGCTGTGAACCTACACTAGTCTCACGGTTCGGTTCGGTTACGATTATCATGCCATCGATTCGGTTCAATTCGATATTTCGGTGCATCACGGTGCATTGACGATGCTTTTATATTATTTTCACAGCAGCAGCTGTGTCATCAAATGGGCCACTGTGTGTGTGTGAGAAAGAGAGAGAGACAGAGCGAGCGAGAGAGAGAGAGAGAGAGAGAGAGAGAGAGAGAGAGAGAGAAATGGAGTAGGCTACTTTCATTATCAAACTCACACAGTGAAATTGTGCACAGTTCATGAGTATTAAGTAGTTAGAGCATTGTAAATACTCGCGATCGTCTTCCTCGCGACAGAGCTCATATGAGGTAAATGATGTCAGTAATAACCGGTTATGATTATTACTGAACCGATTTGTCCGTGTCTGCATTGCGGTGCATCGAAGAAACGATTAATTTTGACACCCCTATTTTGTAGTATGTGGTAGAATGAAGTTGAGCAGCCACAAAAGATACCAGCCTACCACCAGCCAACATTATCTATTGTAGCTAGACCGTTATTGACGATACTACTGTTTACGAACTACAGTGGCACCACCAGTATTTTGGAGCGATAGTATCGCGATACTACCATAGTACCAGTTAACAGTGCAGCCCTAGTACCTGGTACTTTTTTAGCACCTGCTTTGGTGAGGTTCCAAGCAAGGTGCATGCTACCAAAACATGATGTATACACACCAATTGGTCTGAGAGAATCTTCACTACTAGCTTCACCTCCAGCTTAATTGGATTTGACTCAACACGGGGCACCGAATCCACAATGTTGAAATAGTCAGAGCATCCACTGCTGTATTGTTGGTCACGTGACTAAACCGTTTTTATGATACCACAACAAAAGGACACCTAAAATTGTAGTCTTGAGGTCAGTAGATGAGGTCCAGACTTTCCTCTCGTTGTTGGCTGAGGAGAGGATACAACAAGAGTTAGAAGTTTTTCACCAAGTCACTGCAGTAGGGACGACACGACTATTCCGATAATCCCATTAACTTTAAGTGCTACTAAACTCCAGTGGAAATGCAAACTCAGC